TTCAGGTAAGGATACTACATCTGCCCTATCTGAGGTAAGAAGTTCATTGGAAGAAACCAGTCCATGAGTCGAAGGATTCATTGATGTAAAACCTTGCAACATGTTGATCAATATTGGATTTACAAATACCATTGTTTGACCTGTTCTTGCAATGAAAATGGGAAATTGCCTTCAGAGATGAAGCAAAAAGATGAAATAATGTAAACAGCAAGTGGCCATAAAGATCCAGCAAGATGAAAGTTGGAAGTCACCCTCACGGTGTCAAACTTCTCAACACCAAACATTGTGCGAGTTATTGGTATCGAGGAAGAGTGCACATTGGAAATAAACTTCATGTAGAAATGTGAATGTGAAGCTAGAATTGATTCAAACAGTTTCCAAATTTATGAACAGAAAACCCTGTGCATTACATAGAACTTTCAGTGACAACAAGAAGGAGAGTTAGTGTACTACTAAGAAGTTAAATATGCATATTAGAAAGTATTAGGAATATATTTACATCTAATGTCTAGGGCATAGTAGGACCAAACACTCCATCATGTCCTGAGGGATTAATGGTTGGAAGAACTCTTGTGAATATGAAGAATAAGGATGCCATCATTAGGGTTTACAGTACAACAAACCATGTAATCCAAGTGAGTTCAGGACATAACATTGTAAGATGTGAAGCTATACAGGTAGTACTTTTACATGGGGTCTCCAAGAGCTATCATGGGCTATTAAAGATAAAGTGCCAACCCAAATAGTTTCAGAATGATGTCACACACATAAGTAACTAAGGCACAGTTAATGTTTGCTTAAACATTTTTGTACTGAGTTAATACAATCTGTACACATTTTCTGCCATTCTCATGGTCCCCAATTTTTATTATTTTTACCGAATAATAACAGATAATCCACATAACAAACAGTTACAGAAATATTATGTTCCATCTATTCCATTTATAACATGTGGATAAAACTATTTTTTGGTAGGAATGATTCATTAATCATTCACTGATTTCTTCTCTACTGTTTAACAGTTTCCTTTTCAATGTTCACTATCACATTTTAGATATTTTGCTAATAACAAATCATAGCATAAACCATATTTTTTGTGTACTGATAATCCTGCATTGTGCAATGAGATCAGCGAGCCTCGATATTTGAATATATACGATTTTTAAATATAATGTTACAGAGAGCACAAGGTTTCAAGTTATGTGTTCATGATCTGTGGAAGGAGGGGGTAGGCCCTCTCAGAGGTTCTATCTTTTTGAGGCCCCTGGCTATATTCAAAAAAAGAAATATGACACATGAAAACAAAATAAGACAATCATTATCCCAAAAGAATAGTAAAACATAATTTGAATATATAATTTGCAACTGTAAGCTGAGTGTGTGCATCACATTTTGGTCTGATTGGAAGGACCCCCCCAGAGGCACAGCAGTATGTCTGCGGACTTACAGAGCTTCGATACCTGTGGCGGGCAAAGCATAGATAGCCCATAATGTAGCTTTGTGCTTAACTACATACAAACAAACAGATTGGGAGGCACATACAAATAAGCCGTGAAACTTAACAAATGCAAAAAATAACAAGTTCTAAACTTAAGGCCCACTTTGAGTTTGAGGGCCCTTCTGCCCCACCCCCCTAATTGGCCCTAGGTGTGTGTGGTGGGGGGGGGGGTTCATCTGTATTCACATGCTTTTTTTTCTGATAAACAAGAATGAGAAGTATTTATAACAATGGAAGATAAAACTCCAGTATTTGTATTTATATTTGACATATTTGAAAGGTAGAATTTAAGAATTTCAAGGCAGACTAAAACACGCCTGGTAGGCCATCTAGACATGACTGGATTCTAAGAGTATGTATTAAGGGTCACTAAACCCAAATTTGGCATTAGATTTTGTGTTCTTGCCCTTTCCCTCCTGTCACAAGCTATCATGACTAAATGTGGCACTCATGCTCAGGGACTATAGGTGGGAGTCCTAATGGGATCTGTTTTTGGAACTCTTTGGAGAAGCTATAAAAGTAATTTGGGGTACTGGGGAGCTTTTTTATTTAAAAGCACTGTGGACATCATGAGCAATTATTTAAATTTGGTGAATAGTGTTCTTCTTTGTTGCAGTTAACTAATCTGTTACATCAATTTTATCTGATAATTCCACACACATACAAAACATAAACAAACAAGAATATTTCACAAGTAACTTTTATTTAATGAGCATTTAAAAGGCACTCATTACACAAGCATCACCATTTCATTAATATAACAAACCTATACCTTTTTAATGATGTTATCATACTATCCATATCTGTATTGGTGCTTTTGACTAGCATAAAAAAATCAACACAAACATCATATAAAAACTTGTGACACCTGATAACTATTCAAATGATCAATCAGTATTTTCCTACATTAAAACAAACAACAACAAAAAAACATTTTTTACATTTGACAACAAATGCATATTTTATCACCTAAAAATTATGTAATTACTTGTTACAAACATAGACATGTCAATGTTTACTCTCCTATTGCAAGAAAGTAAGCAATACTTTCTAGAAGTTTAAATGCAAAAGGCTACTATTTTAGTGGTATACAATCAAACAGAGAAATATTACATGACCAGTGGATTACAGTTCACTGTAAATGTATAATGCTACTATAGCAATAAATTTTCACTAATATAGAATAATTTGTAATGGAAGAACTTCCAATAATCAACAGTAGTTTAAAGCTTACTCCTAAAAATATTAAAATTCTTTCTTTATGTATATAAACATATATATATATATGCCTACAAACTTTTGTAAGATACACCCTCTTTCTACAACATTTCATTTCATCACTTCTATTACTAAACACTTTTTCAACAATCTCCTATAAGTCAATACCTCGTATCAATATTTACTATCTGAAATTCATTTTATAGACATTGCATTTCTAGCTTACAGATTGTAAGTTACAGCGCCCTCTCTCTCTCACTATCTAACCTTATTCTGAACAACTCTTATTACCAGGTGCTATTTACACTATATATGAGCAGCCTTTCTTTTCTCACATCACCTAAAAATATACGAGCAGCTTCTCATAATCAGCTATTATATAATTCCTACATGAGCAAGCTTTCATCACTATAAACTATCTATACACACTCATTACCAGCTGTTATTTAAACCATACAAGAGCAAGCTTTCATCACTATAAACTATTTACACACTCTCATCACCAGCTGTTATTTAAACCATACAAGAACAAGCTTTCATCACCACATACTATATATATAAGCTACTTATTACCTACACACTCCCATCACCAGCTGTTATTTAAACCATACAAGAGCAAGCTTTCATCACTATAAACTATTTACACACTCTCATCACTAGCTGTTATTTAAACCCTACTTGAGCAAGCTTTCATCACTATAAACTATTTACACACTCTCATCACTAGCTGTTATTTAAACCCTACTTGAGCAAGCTTTCATCACCACATACTATATATAAACTACTTATTACCTACACACTCCCATCACCAGTTGTTAAACACTACATTAGTAAGCTTTCATCACTATAAACTATTTACACACTCTCATCACTAGCTGTTATTTAAACCCTACTTGAGCAAGCTTTCATCACCACATACTATATATAAACTACTTATTACCTACACACTCCCATCACCAGCTATTATCTAAACCCCATATAAGCAAGTTTTCATCATTACATATTATTCATAACCAATATCAGCAGTCTCCTTTTAACAGATACCACCTAAATACTACTTGAGCAACTTATCATCAACATGTGAGGAACCTCACATCACCAAGTACTATCTATATCCTATATTAGCAGTTTCACCTTCCAAAAATATCCAAGTTACTAGATATATATATCCTGCTCAGAAACATCTCATCACTTAGTGATATGTAAACCTTTTCTGAACCTCAGTGTTTTTTACTGACCAGATACTACTTAAGACTACCTGAGCAACTTTTCATCACTAAGTACTAAATATAAACTATAACAAGCCTGCTAAAAACAAACATATACTGTACAGTATATTTATAATTTCATGTACTACCAAATAACATTCTTACCACCAGTAACCCTACCAAGTGATTCAAAGATTACCAGTAATTGTGAAAACATGCATTAAAGAAAGTGTTTTATGCATAATTAATACCAAAAACTTTTATATTCTACAAAACTTTATCATAGCCTATAAATTATATAACTGATAATTTAATTTTAATTTCATAAGTTTTCACTAATAGTGTCACTATTTCAATTACGTTAAATTATCACTAGTTTTTAAAGTTAGAAAGCTCTGAATCCTACTGAACTATTCATATATTTCATAATTAAATTGTTTGTTTGATATATTATCACTAGTTTTTAAAGTTAGAAAGCTCTGAACCCTACTGAACTATTCATATATTTCATAATTAAATTGTTTGTTTGATATATTCAAATTGTTCAGTAATTACAAAATGGAAAAGTCAAAATATGTAGACCTACTATTCTACATCCTCGCAGTGTTGCTATGGTTTTAATACATAAACACACATCATTTATTTTGTATTAAAGGAGTTTGTAAGTAAATTTTTAAAGCAGAAATCAACAGTCTATCAAATTATGATATAAAAAATTAATTTGACACAAACAGAAATATATTACTTCTTTTATATTTGTCAGGATACTTAAAATAAACAAAAAGGTTAAACAGAACAAACCAAAAATGTAACATATAAATGTACTTTCATTGAAAATATTCAAGCATAATAATTATAATTTAAAGCTACGTAACAAAAAAAAAGAAAATGCTTTGGGAGTTTCAACATTAAACCATTACTCAGTTACATATTTATGAAAATAAAACAAAATACACAACCATATACAAACACATTATCACATCTGATTTACACACTGTAAATTGTTCAATATATATATATATATATATATCAAGTTTCTCATTGTATCTGCATATAGTTTGAGTAGGACTTCATTCTTTTTTTTTGGCAGACACTGGAGAGTCTTTGAAAAAATAGGCAAGAACATACAAATAGTTGACAAGCTTTAAACTTTCAGATTATCAAGAATAAACACTGCCGATACGTGAACATAAATATTAACCCAATTGAATGTGTTATGTTTTTGTAGTTTGTACTATTCATGGTCTTACTGATCTACTTCAATTAAGTGCTATACATGTCAACAGTTTGTTTCTTAATTAAAAGGATAATAAATGGAGCTATAACTCAGTAGCATATTTCTGAAATTCAAAGGTTTATTCAAAATAAACCATACCTTTCTAGTGTCACTTTCATTCATAAGTATTACTAAAAACTTGCATATATTCTGTGTAAATATGGCAATAATTATAAATAACTTACAAAATAAAACAATTTTCTACTCTAGAATAAATCTAAACAATGTGACTGCAGTTAATTACCACAACTTGTTCAGCAGAGTTTCTGATCTTAAGCTATAAACAGTCACTTTACTAATATTGACTTCATTTTATTGTTTTTTTTACAAACAAAAACAGTTTCACATATGCAAAAGGTAAAAAAAAAAGAAAAGAGAAAAAGAAGGCATTACATCAGTTAGAAATGGCTTTTATATTCCATCTAAAAATAAATGTGAGCATAGAAATCACCTGAACACAACTTGAAAGAAAAGTATTAAGCTCACGAACGACACAGGCATTAATGGAGATACAATACACTACATTTTCACTATATGTACCACTATCTACTTAATTAAATCAGAAAGATAGTCATGCTTAAGTTTACTATTACATTTCTTTAATTACTAATTACAAGATGATTTTTACACCTTGAAAATACAAAAACAGTAAAGTGTAAAATAAGTACAAATGAATGTCTCTCTATGAAGAGTTATTTTGAATCTGATAAATGCCAAATAAATGTGCTCTTCTGAGAGAACCCCCGTAAGAAAGGAATTAAAAACACAATTACACAAAATTATTGTGCTTAATGTGAATTATATAACAATGACTAGACTAAGATTTTCAATTAGAAATTAGTCAGAATGTACCATATTAATATTAGGAGGTACCTAAAAAACAAAGGGTCTGGGAGCTGCCAAGACCCCACCAGGTACAGGGTAGAACCCTACTGGAGGGACTAGATGTGAAAAAGGTTGCCTGGAAGCTCCTGAGGCTTGAGAGAATATAGTTTTCTTACTTCACCTTTAAAGTGTTAAGAATAATAATTCATAAGACAACATAATACAAATCATTGACAAAAATTTAATACAGACTATTAAACAATGAGACCAGGGGGAAATGAAGTATGAATGGATGAGACTAGAGTAGGTTAGACAAATTATTCTGTTTATTTGGTTCTGAAATCTGTGGATATCATAAAAACCCTACAGAAATTGAGCACAAAATTTGATTTGTGATAATCAATAATAAAAATTATCAAAATGTAACTGTTTTTTTTAACCATACTTGTAATCACTATCAAAATAACACAACAAATTCTGCAAGAATTAATAAGCACTTAAGTGAACTGAATATTGGAAGTGTTATAAATAACTTTTGGTTCTTTTACTCTAACATTCTGATGAATTAAGATATTTTAGAAGGAAATCAGAAAAATAATTCAGAGTTTATCTTTTGAACTCCTTCACTTGTAAGTGCTAATTATATCAGTAATAGATGGGTAAAAGTACTGGGTATAGACCATTTTTTAAAACACTACTGGACAATAAATATTTCTATGACTACTAACAGATACTGAATATGTACTTTTAAGCCTAAGTCAGAAAGCTCTATTTAACAGTTTTGTGATCTAAAACTATAACTCATTTATATTTACTATATTTACTTAATCATGAAGCCTTTAAATAATAAACTCTTAGATTTTTCTGCAGTCAGCAAAACAAATGATTTTATATACATATATTTACTTGTAACTTATCTATTATACATGTATTTAAAAAAAGTATATCATCATATTCTTAAATAGATGAAACAGTTCAAATGGCTCAAATACTAAATACAGTTTCTTGGTACAAATAATATTATTGTTACAAAAAAATAATACAAATGTAAAGCATTAAGTTATAGCTTCTCTGCAGATTGGTGGACTTGAGATGTATTCTTCCACTCTGATGTATATATAATAAATATATAATCTACAAGTTGGAGAAAAAAGTTCCAAAAATACTAAAGATTTCATCACATTAAAACATAGACAATGCATGTAGCATTCTTATAATGTACATATCTTGAAATAAAAAGATAGACACAACGTGACTTTAAATAGAACACAACTTCTATACATTTACTATAAATAGTTATGTATTATACGTACTTTTCAATTGGGAATATTTTCAAGAAAGAAAAAAATTCTACTTTCAATTATGGCAGTTTTCTTAAAATATTAGTAAAATAAACCCCTGTAAGCTATACATACTACACAGCTGAGAACGACAAACAAGTGTGGAAGACATCTGATGTACAAATGTGCGAGTTTAAAGCATGAGGAGATGGTGGTATTATTATATATGGATTTGTAGTTAAAGCAAAGATACATGTTCCTAAAAAACAACTTGTTATTCAACCCACTTGTTTTAGTGGACTAGTATTTTGTAAAATACAGTCACATTTCAGTTAGAATACATTATATATATATATATATTATTACCATTTACAAATACGTTCTTAAACTTATTTTTCTTAAAGCATGGAACAGTAAATAAAGAAGTATAGCAAAACAATTATTTCTTCTAGTTATAAACTTTGTACTTGTTTGCTGCTTGCCATAGATTGCTAAGCCTTATCAAATTTTGATATATATATATATATATATATATATATATATATATACACATTTGAAATAACAAAAATCATAAATTACTATATCAATACAATACAATTTCACTATAATTTATCAAACTTAGTAACTAAGCTGTGTTTGGGTCTAAAAACTATAATTTCGAGTTCACTAAAGTGTCAACTTACCCTCTTTGAATCCAGAGTGAAAAGAAAGGATTTTCCATGCAAATAATTTGCAAAGGCTCAGAGAACCACGTGGGGGACATTCTGAGCTTTTGATTGGTTATTCACACACAATAGAAAGAAATAGGTTTACATAACCAAGTGTCTCTAAAAATGGAAAGAGGTGGGTGGGTCCACAGTGTTTGATTCAGTACATGAAGCAATATCTCAGTAAATAGAAAAGATAGGATGTTCTTATTTTATATTCTAGCTTGTTAATATTGGTAATTTGAGTTCCTAATTTGTACAAAACTATAGACTTTGTATTTGGACATCCCAAACTTATCATTTGAACCAATGCTGCATTCAACATACCACGTGACACACAAAAATTGATATTTAGGTGTGTTCTTTTAATATTTACTTTTAACTTAAGAAATTAACTAATGTATAATACTAAAATTGTAATTATAATCCACAGTTTGATACCAAACTTATTGACATAAATTCATGAAATAGTAGTTCAATCAAATTTTGAATGCAAGTCAACATGGCCTTTGACCTGGGATCCATGGTGACAGGGTTATATCAGTTCAGATTTGAAAATTAGCAGCCCAAAGAATGACAATGACATTAAAGAAATGACTGCAGTCAACAGCCGAACTCAACTTTCTCAAACAAACACAAATAATACTACAAGTATCAACAGAAATTTAAATAGCTGGATTGAAGCATTATGGTGCTTACGAAACTCGACAAAAACTATTGAAACAAGAGTATGTCAAAATAAATCATTAAAAGCAAATGTTAACAATGTTACATATTTGAATAGTTCTTAAGATCAAATATTCTCACTTATTCTTTCTCTCTCAAACCCTGTTTGGTATTTGAATGGTAAATGAAATATTTTTTGTAATAACAACATTATGCCTTATAATGAAAATGCTTTAGTTACGAGAAGTAGTATTTTATGTTTCACTTGAAACAATGTGCATTTCACTTGTAAAAATACCATTTCTGATTAAATTTTCATTACGTTTTGATTGAAATTTACCATTAAAATGTAGCTTCTTGGATAAATTTTTAACATTGTGTTTCATTCAATTTTAGTGCCTTTTGATCAACCGGGCTAAGGTTGAAATAACCAAAAATATTTTTTTACTCATAAAAAACATTTCCTATCATTTGTATGGAAAGATGTTCTACTACTCCCTTAATGTTGTGAATGATTTCAGTCATAAAACAACAACAACAACAAAAATTCTAACATTACTGGTAGACTTTGCTTTCAATTTTAAACAATTATCATATGGAAAAAAAGCTTTTTTACTACCTTTATCACAACAGGATTGCATTCCAGGAAAAAATTTAAGGGACAGGGTTTGACAAATGAGCCCCAGGATATTGATCAGAATTCTGTTGGCTGACAACAGGGGTGCCCAAAGGTCTGTTTTCCATCAAGTTCTTTCCCAAGATGTTGACAGATATGAACTTGGCTCTTTGATAGGCCGTCAGTACGTGAAAACCTAAAAGCCTGTGGCAAGACAATGTCATTTCCATATATACATACATAGTTGTTTCTTTACAGAAAATTTACAAAAAATCCTCAAAGGTAATTTTCTTTAAGTCTTTTACTTTACATTTTTGTTATAAAATTTACACAAAATTATTTACCAAATCTACGTACTACATGTAGAAGGACATATGTCACCACCATACTATCAAATTAAAAGTTTACTATCATTATTATATATATATATATAAACCTTGTTGTTCATAACTGTCTGAGACCTCTCTCTGAAACATCCCTCAGAAGCTATGGCCACTGACATGCATATGATATCAATTTGTGTAAAGTAATTAGTTTTGAAAAAAAGTGGACACAAACATCTTTAGAGCCACTAAACAAACAAAATGGAAGAATATTTCCAGTTTTTTCTTTTCTTTCATAAGGCTTCTATAAATTAAGAAAAAACCTTGTTTCTTTATCGTAACATACATCATTTCTATATATCAATATTTAAATATTTCATAGAGGACTTTCCAGCAGTTCTCAAGGTATTTGTAGTTACATTCATGTTATTAATTCCATATTTTACCTGAAAATATCACAAACCTTATTGAAACTAATGAAAAGTATTTTTTAATAATTTATTTGTTATTTAAAAAATTCCAGGATTTTGAAAACACTATAAAGAGAAGCAGAAGTTTAACTGTAAAGTATAAAAAACAATATCATAAAAAAGACAGCCAGAGATAAATAATTATATATATTCATAGGAGACTGGTTAATTCACAAATCTCAAACAAATTAGTAAAACTAAGAAAAGATATTTTAAAGTTGAAAACAAATTCCTAACTTACAACAGTTCATGACAGTCTTATTATTATTTTGTAAGAACAATATTACTGGTCAAAATAGTTTCCCCACAAAAACCTACCTCACACAAATCAAGACAATCAGCAGGGCACTACCAACAGCTGCTGTACGTATAGCCACATTATCGTATGTTTTAACAATAACGCAAGCTCCACCTATTGAACTTCCCATTAAGGAAGCTTTGGTAAATGTCTGTAGCCACTGTCCAGTGGTAAGTCCTTTAGGCAGCCACACTGACCCTTGCTCTAACTTGTACTACAATTAGAGAAAACAACAGTTAATACAACATCAAACTAAGTCATTTTTACAGATAAACTTTTGGATTTTTGACCAATGCACAATTCTTTAAGACACAGAAACTACTTGAGATAACACCTTTTAGCTCTAATTAAACGTTAGTTTGTTTGTTGTTAAGCACAAAGCTACACAATGGGCTATCTGTGCTGTGCCCACCACAGGTATTGAAATCCAGTTTTAGCATTATAAGTCTTCAGACTTACTGCTAAGGCATTGAGGGTGTGGGCTGATTGAAGGATGTAATGTAGTGAAAGATACATCATACTAACAAAATTTTCTCTAATTCATTAATTTATCTTTAATTTCCCGATATCATGTATTTTAAAAATGAAATGAAAACACAATACAATATTTAGAAATGAAACCCTGTATGTAAAAACAACACAGAACAATATAACCAGATAATACAGTTTGTCACATAAGTTGAGAGAGAAAGTTTTTCTTGTTTGTAAGGGTTGAAATATATTTTCAGACACTGTTTTTTGTATGTATTGATATAATAAGATGGAAAAATACTTACCAATACAAATATGAAGAAATGTTTTAGATATGTAACGTATTCTATTCTAAGTCCAATGATGTTAATAGTTTACTTATTGGTTCACACGTTATTTATTTAGCATTGTTGGTTTGATTTGTCTTAACAATATAGATTAAAGAATGTTTGATATTATTTTAATATAATATGAACTTTCTAAACACATGTATCAATGTTCGATTTACGAATGACTGGATTAGTGAACTTATGGGATATTGGTAGCTCCTGACAAAGTTGTAATAGCAAAATACTGAGCTAATAAAATTACATTCTGGAGATAAAGGTCGTGATTTTATTTATGTTTCTACATATGTCTCATAATAAACTCCAGTTCACATCAAACAAAGTTAAGAATAATAATTCATACTGAGTATAATTAAACTCACTCTCGTGAAATTTTAAAACCAAAAAAGTCATGAGTCTCAGCAAACTCTAAACACATCAATGCACTACAGTGCCAAAGAAAAGAACAAGGATTCACAACCGAGAATGTAAAGGGATTCATTAGGTATGGATGTGTGTCACACTCCAATTAGTTTGTGTTGCATGATGACATCATTCACATGAGATTAGGTGTTTTCACAAGGCTGGTGACTTGCAAATTTCTTTGGCAGAATGCATGAACTCAAGAGGAAAAAAGCAATTCTGTGTGTGAGAGGTAAGTATATGTTTTAGAATTAAGCTATTGTAGTGATTATTAAATATATAGGAATAATCAGAACAAGTGCTCACTAAACAAACTGAGTTGTAGATTTTCACTTTTAAAATAAAAAACCCACGAGCTTCCAGCAAGACCTGGACTACCAATAAAACAAAATAGTGTTTATAACAATGTTTCATCTTTAAATTAAAAGTTTAAACTATAAAAACATTTTAGAGATTTCACTATTTTTTGCCTCAAAGTGATGGATTTTTTTATAGCATGTAGCTAAATGTTTATACCATATAAAAATGAAACTGAAAGGGTAAAGTATTTTCAGTAAACATTTTTCATCTCTTTCATCATATGCTTAAGCAATATTCAATTTGAAGTGTCCAAGTTTATTTTAAATAGTTTTTATCTTCACAATTAAAACACAAACATTACAATAGTTTAAGAACTTCTTAATAATGGTCATTATATAGTTAACTAAGTAAAGAAACAATCTGAAATTAATAGCTTTTACAATATCTTTTAATTATAGGTTTAAAACCACAATGTACAACATGATGCGTTTACAGTAAAACACAAACATTACAATAGTTTAAGAACTTCTTAATAATGGTCATTATATAGTTAACTAAGTAAAGAAACAATCTGAAATTAATAGCTTTTACAATATCTTTTAATTATAGGTTTAAAACCACAATGTACAACATGATGCGTTTACAGTAAAACGTTTTCTTTGACATCTTAAACTACAGGTATTCACATTTGTAGAAAAATAAATTGATAAAAGTATAGTATTGACAATAAAGATTTCTCCTGACATATTTCTTAGTGTTTAAAACTGCAGAGGCACAGTGAGCCAAATTAAAACTTTTTACAAGACAGTTTTAGATAATGTCTCAGTTTAAAAAATTACAATTGAAAATGTGAAATAAGAGGCCTAAATGTATTTCTTTAGTTTGCTGACTCGAGTTGTGCTGATGAGCCTTGAATAGGTGAAACTACAGTTCATAGCAGAATGTTCAGTGAATCAAAAAAATGTATAGGACCCTATGTTACAGATTATATTTTCAACTTTACCTTTGGTGAAAATAAAATAAATCTGTAATATAATCATTAAACAGTTGGTCTGCTGTATAATATTGAATAATGAATTAGGCACAATATCATAATATTATTCAAATGCCTAAATCAATTTTGGTTACAATATGGTGAGTTAAAAAGGACTCAAAACCCCATAAATATTATAATTTTAATGTTTTGGGCAGAATAATACAAATATGTATCTTTAAAGACTTACCTCAGTATTACAAACTTTACATATGTTGTTGTTTGACTTTTCTGAAGACTGAAAATGTTAACAGAAAATTAATGCTCATTTTAAATAATTGCTTTGTAAGAGAGGAAAATATTAATATAACATAATATATAACAAAATGTTTTGATGTTCACCAAAAAATCATAACTCAGTTTATATGATTTTTATGATATAAAAGATACAAGAATTATGACTTTCTTATTCTAATGCAAAATTTATTCCACAAACAAATACAAAACTACAGAAAGATAAATTATGATAATTTCATAACACAGCAAAAGATATAATTTCAGAAAGATGACTGTGGTGATATCATCTAATTACCATTCAAATGCAGATAAAAAAACTAGTGATCAAAAACAGTTGAACAAGGAGTAAAGCCTAAGTGCTTAAACCCACAATGTTCTAGGTTTAGACAACCATTCAACAAACATGGCATCATCATAAACACTAAATCCTAGATCCATTAAAATCCCAAAATTGATTCAGAGTTTAATACTACGAAAATCTTAAGTAAGCACCCAATCTTAAAATTTGACAAATTTAAATTTTAAATTGTTTTCGTTTGTTTCTATGTTATGAAATCATTTACTTGGTTTATTGCTTGAAATATAACCTGACTGTTCGGATCTTCATGTTCATTTATTATAAGGTCCCAGAAAACCTTTTCTTTTTTATGCCAATGAATGGGTTTCTGAGGAATTTCGCAAATAAAAATTTTTACTTGCCCTTGTATTTATCACAATTTCTCACATCCAGAAAAAAACCACCAAACTTAAACTGTAAAAGAGAAATTTATAGTTCAGCTAGGTTATATGGTTTTAGTTATATTGCAAAGGTGCATCGAAGGTCTTAAGAAGAGTATAAAGCTTTTCCAAGTTAAACTACTTTTTTTTTTCAGCAAAATTCATTTTAGAAACACTTTTTTTTAAATTTACATTATATTTGCATTAACTAGCTGCAGCTGCTTTAGTGATTTTGGAGTCTTAAAAACAGTTGAAGTTATAAAATCATAATATTTTAATATCTTTCAGTAAATACTATAGAAGAGGAATTATCAACTACCTCGACAAGCCATTTTTTCAAACAATCATGATGAACAGCTGCTACATCACCTTTACACTCACAAGGTTGGATAAGTGGCCCAGCATCTTGTCTCTCAGTATCATAACAGATCCAGCATTCCACAGCTCCAATTTTTGTATCTATAGAAACACATCAGAATTTTAGAAAACACAATTTCTGTGGCATTATTCTCTCTGAAGTGTAGAGCTTACTCCAAAATAAGGAATGTAGTGTTCTAATTACAAAATTGACTAATTGGCTCACAATAACTAAAAACTTTCTTGTATGATATTTCTAAGCATTACATTTTTAGAATGTTTAAACACCTGAGAAATAAAAAAAGTACCTGATGAAACACCTGAGCTCTCGAAGAAATGTGTTATATTGCATATTAAACAATAAAACTGTTTAGTGATAACAATTTATTAAACTATCACAGTTTACTTGTTCATTATGGTTTTTCCATTTAGAAAAACTGTATAGAAGCAATCCACCTATTTTTGAGAAATATTTAACAGAAGAATCATCACTTTACACATCAACAGTTCATATCTCTAGAAACTCAAATCTTCTGCTTTGTAAAAGAAGTGTTACTTAATTGACAACACCATATAGAACTAGTTTTTTTTTTAATGAATTCCCTTTATGTTGAAACATCATCAGCTCATAGTTTGGCTGTACCAACCCTTCAGATTAGTCCAATAGCTTTGCCTCAACATCAATCCATTTTGACTGGATTTCGTAGGATTAGTGCTAAAAATCTTGGAAGTGATTTTATTTTTTTATTAACACCATTATTTTTCATAATAGTATTTTAGCTTGTCTGAATTACACCTTTTAGATGGTTTGTCTCTAACAAAGTAACACTAGCCCTTCACACTAATGCTTTAAGTTGGCAGTACTTACTACTTATAGTTTAGTTGTGCAAAATGACGTTTTTAGTTTCATAACATTTACTCTTCCATTGATCCTTTTATCTTGATGGCTGTACGCTTGAATTTTGTTATCTGAACTTTTCTAATCCCATTCACTAAACCAGGTATTTGTAGGTTAGTAACAATAACATTATATGTTCATGTATGTACCTTATTAGAGGCAACCTATCAATTTTGTCTTGCAGCTTAATAGCACTAGTCCTTCAAAGTGTGCTTGTTGTGAGTGACAATATTTTGCACTTTTTGTACCATTACTTATAATATGTAAAAAAAACATTCTTTCTTAAAGCCATCTAGTTATTGTTCAAATTTTGAGTAGAGAAGTATTCATCAGGTTATCTGCTAAAAACATCTTACATTAGAAAGGCCAGTGTTTCAATTAAACCGATTGACTATTCTGGTTAGCTAATAATATATTCAGCTGTCTGTTACACACATTATTAGGGATATTTATGACTACAATGGCTGTCTAAATCACTGTACAGGGCTTACAAGTATGATATCAGGTTAAAAAAACAACTTTTATTGAAGCAATGAAACTTGTACAAAGTCTTAAAAATATCATTAAACAACTTTTTAACTAGGAGGCAGAGGTAGGTAAAAAACATTGCTTGCCTGTACAATATACAACTGGAATGAATACAAACATTGCTTGCTCATATGACATATACACTTAAAGAATACAATACTGCTTGCTTGTATGACATACACATGTAATGTATATCAACAATGCTTGCTCATGTGACACATATAATGATATGAATGCACTGAACTTGAATAATATCATCATGCTTATTTCTACTAATCAGTCTCACAAAAAACAATTTTAAAGTATTTAGATGACCTACTTAGTAATATGCTCAACATACCTATTTTTACAATGCTTGATCTGTTTGAAGAGACTAGTGTATCACTGTTGATCTTCGGAGACTCCAACTTCTTTAAGATATTCTGTGGGTTTAAGATCCATAGTTCTTCTGGCCTGAAAATGTACATTAAAAATATTGAGTAAATTTATTTTAAAGTGACAAATACT